TGATATTATGCTTCGTGCGCCGCGCAATCCCAAGAGGGAGCATCTAGTTGACCTCAAGTTTTTTGGTCAGGCATTTGGATTTATTGGTATTCTTGAGGCGGTGTCTGCGCACATAATTTTCTTTGTGTTCATGTACTGGCATGGCGGCTTTACACCTGGGGATTTGTTTTTGGCATTTAACAAGTGGACTCTGGGCGATTTTCACGGCAAGGATCAGGCCACACTCAACTTGCTGCTTCGCACCGGGCAGTCAATATATTTTTTGACATTGGTTATATTGCAGTGGGGCAATATGTTTGCCACTCGCACTCGGCGGCTGAGCGTTTTCCAGCAGAACCCCTTGTGGGGGCCAACTCGCAATCTCAGGCTTTTGGCCGCCATTCCTTTTACATTGGGCGTGGTGTTTTTGTTTTGCTATGTCGGCTGGTTTAACCGCATCTTTGGCACGGCGCACATCCCTTTACCATTCTTCTTTATTCCTATTCCATTTGCACTCTTTATCTTGTGCATGGACGAGCTGCGCAAGCTTGTTGTGCGTACCTGTCCATCCAGCATAGTGGCACGAATTGCCTGGTAGTATTTATTTATTAGTCACTATGTTATTTTATTTAATTTAATTAATTAATTAATTTTGAGAGCGAAATATATTTATATTGTGACAAACAAATTGTCATATTCATAATTAAAAATTGACATTGGCAAATGATTGGACAAAAACAATTGCGTATAAAGAAACAAAAACAAAACATGCTGCGCAATAGTAAAGTAAGGATTTCAATTAAAAAAATCAACTATCCTTACATTATAATAGATTTCATAGATTTTTGTATAAAGAGGCCAATTGTCATCCTTTCCTCAACTATTTTTTATTAACAACACCTGTTCATTGATTACGCTAACAACTAGTTTATTACTTGGTTTTACAGATGCTATAACTACTCCAAAAATTGAGTCGATAGAAACCTAATTTTATATTAAAAATGCATATATAAAAATTGATAATCTAAATGGTGCAAAGTATATATACGTGATGCCTGATTGTAGATACACAAATAAAATTTTAATTTTGTAATTAAGGACATTGGCACCGAATATACCATTTTATATACTGATGGCAGCCAAAAAAATAATTATCTACTTAGATAAAGAGAATATATTTAAATACAACTATGGTAACGGTGTTGTAGTTTGTTTAAAGACGATAAACGTGAGTATGCATTAAAAGTTTTACAGAATATTATTTAAGACGTTTCAACTTTAAAAACATAGTTAACCCTCCTGAATAAGTATTTTATCGATTGCACCAATGTTGGAATATAGGGAACGTTCTATGAACGTGTAGATAAAGTATAATGCTATGAAGTTTATTTAATAACAAGTGCTATGCACTGTGAGGTGAAGAGAAGAGAGCATATTGCTCTGGTCACTGTGTGACTTATTGTTTGTGTGGCTAAACAGCCAAGACTGGTTAATCAGTTGATCGCCATCAACCAATAACCAATAACCACAAAAATACTGGTCTGATATACCCAGGGTACATGATTGTGTTTTATGCACATTTTATTTTTATATTTAGGTTGTCATAAGAGGGGGTGGTGTGAGGAGCAATATGGTAGTAGTGTTAGAAAAGTAGGGGGATAATCTATAAATGGTTTTATTACTAATGTTTCTAAAGTACTACTAGCGTTGGCCTCGTCTTATATATGTATCTCGTTGCCTGTGTTGTGCACTTTGCCAGTTGTGCACTCTGTTAGCGAGAACTGGTTCTTCTGCAAACACCCCAGTATCTTGGCAGGTCAGTGTTGTGGTTTTTGCATATGTGCGCTCGTATGTGTACATTGCAAAATAGGGAGCATATCTGGGCATCATAATTATTCCTCCCTAATTTACTCCTGCATAATCCAACTAGTGCCCTATCAATCGGCATGCAGATGGAAGCTTGTTTCACGATTCTCAACCTCGACATCCACTTCCATATCCTTGGGCTGCATAGCAATATAGTACAAGTAATTGAGTTTCAATACACTTTACTAGCCTACTTGCAAATTAGAAAACTGGTTTTGCATTGAAAATTGAGTAGAGAAATTGCCTATATTAATAAATAAATAAAAAGGTTTAATGCAAAAGAGACTCATCAATTTAACTTATACCCCCATTATATTTAATGAATTTGGGCCATGTGACCGGGAGAATAACTTTTGTCACTGTTATATAACCATCTGCGCACTCGCGACAGACCTCCAGGCTGCTGGTTGGTGTATCCGTCAGTCTGGCTATCGCGCTTTCCCTTGTAAAAGAAAAAATACCACAGCCCAGCTAAGAGTACAAGAGCCAAAATAGAAAGACCTGCAATAAGACCAGCAGACATTTTAAATTTTTTTACATTATTGGCAGCAACATTTTTCACGTTAGAGTCACTAGCAGCCACCGCTGCAATAGGTCTGAGCTCGGAAGAAGTGTCCAGAGGGTCAAGCTCATTTTTACTAGTGACTGTCTGGGTTACTGTGACCATGTACATGCTTGGAACAGTCTGTGTGACAGTTGTGACCCCAGATACAGTTGTTTGGACAATATCAAGTCTGGTTATGGAGGGAAGATAAGTGACAGTATAGAGGGAGGTAATCAAATATGTGGATTCTGTGGTGACTGTAACCGTGTTGATATCTGCTGAAGTAATGGTGCTTGCAGGAAGAACACCTATGGCAGCTTGCTGAGGAATATTAGAGTCAGATAAAATTAATGTGGTTGTTAGAGACAGCACTGATGTATCAGTAATAGTTGAAACCGAGGATACAGTTTTGGTGGTTGTGAACGTAACAGTAGCGGCATTTTCCTGACCTGCATTAAGGTCAATGTTAATGTTGTTGCCCTGGGGATTTACAGTGTTGATGATTGGAGCAGTCACCGTATCTGTCACTGTTGCTGTGAATAATATGGTGTCGCTAAACGTTGTTGTTGTAAATGTGGTCGAGGTTGCTACGTCCATGGATGTGACACCAATAACGGAGCTTACCATGGTAGTATCAATGACTGTAACTGTGCCAGTTGCAGTTGCAGTGGTTGTTTCTGTGGTGCTAATAGTGTTAACAGTAGTTGTCGAAATAAATTCTGTGCTCGACGTTTTAACAGATTCAGTAACTTCAATAGTTGTAGTATCCGTTTGTGTGGTCAGAATGGTTGGTATGACTGGAGGGGGAATTGCTGTTGTGAGCGATGCTAATGTTGCTGTTGTGGGTATGGGCAAAAGAGAGGACGACAAAGCTTTGGGGACATTCTGTACTTGCACACTTAATCCATTAACTGCAACCTTGCCAGCAATAGCAGGGGTAATAATACTAACATGGAAGTCTTTATCGGTGCTAATGCCTACGTATGGCATGTTGGCACTGTGAATAGATATAAAAGATTTGCCTGCAATGCTTGCAAACCAAGGCAAGTAATTACGCAAAACAGTGTAGTAGTTTATAACTTGGCCCGTGGCACCGCACAAGCCAGTGCTTTCGTCACTGACACTAAAACTGTATAGTGCATGTATGGCCACCATGTCTTCCACAGCTCCATAGATTGAGCTATAACCCGTCACACACCCAGGACTGTTAACTGAGCCGACAGTCAAGGTATTGCAAACATAGTCATCAGGGTGTGCAGCATACAAGGGTGAATACTCTTTGCAAAGGTCAATTGGTGGGTCCATAGAAGCAGCTACATTTAGTTTGTCGCCCTGTGGAGGACTAATGCTAGACAGGGAGCGATAAGTAAAGTAACGGTTAAGCAAATTGTTAGGGTCATCGGCAATAAAACCCCACATCCAAGAGCCATCTTGTACAAGAGACTCAAACTCTATATAAGCAAGATTGTTGGCAAAGGTAGTTGGATCATATGAAGGGTGCCTTATTACTCCTGTTACTTTCCGTATATCGCCTGCGCCGGCGGTTGGCTGAACATTTGCAACACTGTACCCAGATAACGATCCTTGTTCGTTGGGATCCCAATTGATGCAGTTTGCAGCAACTAAACCAATATTCTCACCAAGAATAGCAACTTCACATTGGGTGCTCGTAGTATCCTTGATAAGTACAAGGTAATTGGGATACTGCATATCAGTAACGTCATTCTGTGCATTAACATTTAATGAAAATAGACTCTGTCTCTTGACAGTGCTTGATGATACTAGCGATAGACCAGCTACCAGAAAAGCCAGTAATTTAAAGATCAGCATTTGTTTTAAATAAATTCTATAGTGACTGAAAATAATGATAGGTAAAAATAAAAATATGTAGGAAATAATATAATGAAGTGAAAATAAAAAATGGATGGGCTTTTTCAGTTGGAAAATGACAGGTAGGCAAAAATGTAGTTTTTGTTTGCTGCTAATTATTTTGACTAAAACTACGCATGATGTGCTAAGAATAAAGGTTGCTTTGTACTATTGCACAGGATTGTTTTGCAAGTAGCTACTCCACGTATCCCCTTTGAATAAATGGGTTGAGCAAATTTAAAAGAACAAAAAGAAAGCTTTTGCAGGATTACACGTGTGATCCCCAACTCACATTTCACGCTACTTGTGATACAAGAAAATCAGGCTTGTCCCCGGCGATTGATTAATGAATCAATCGCCAGTTAATTCCATACTTGGATATGCAGGAATTCATACGCACATACAAATACTAATGAATATGAATAATGAAGGCTGTTCATCCTTTAGCTTTTTTAGTTATGTTATGCAGCCCGGGGATATGGAGGTAGACGCTGAGGGCAAGAATCATGAGACAGACTCCTGCCAGCTTGCTGATGGATATGGTATTGACCAAATTACAAGGGACTAAATCAGACGCCGCTGTTGACATCCAGACTGTGGTGCCCAACATACATTTCAAGCCACTATCTTCCCTTTTCAAGAATCAAGATTGCCCTCATGGCCACTATACACATTTCTGTTATTGCTGGCTGACATCAAGGAACACCATGATGTTTACAGCGCTGCCCACACAGCGCTGCCCCCTTTTTTCAGTTCCTTAAGTAATTTTTGATACTTAAATATATTGATTTAGACCCACACTTTTATAGAGCACGACACAGACATACTGTCTGTCTCAAAATAGATGCGCTGAGCGCACGAATACAGATACGCCAATTATGCCATATCAGATACTCGGGTTACTTTTATAAGGACCAGTTCTCCCGAACGGAGCACATAACTCCCAGTGTGTGCCACAAAGTCAATGAGCTATATATATAAGATGAGGTCGACGATAATAGCACTTTAGAAACACTAGTAATAAAATTTTGTAATTTAACACCTATCCTTCTAACATTATTACAATAATGATCCCCACACTCCCCTCTTTTACATAACAGTTCATTTCTTTGGATAATAAATACTTTTAACACAACACTACTATCCCCATATTTAAGCATCAAATGTCAACAAGACCTTTATAGCGCCAACTACACGGTGCTGCCATTTTCAGTTTAACTTTTTTTTATATTTTTAGGATACTTGCAAGGCTTAGTATACCCACGTCCTGAGCTTTATAGCATGTTTCCAGGCCTTTTTTTACGGACTTTTTATACTCT